GTCCTAGTTGTGGGAAGACTCAGGATTGACTGTGTGGCAGAGAAAAGGTAGATAGCTGGACACCTCCAAATCCCTCCAAGTCCACCTGGCTTTTAAGAAGAAGGGGAGGGCAGAAACAGAGAAGGGAAGTCAGGTCAGTCCTCAGCGTTTGACTAGAAACAAAGTGAGGGCCCCCAGGCTGCCCCTCTCAGTTGGCGAAGTGGAGGGCCCTCCCTGAAGGAAGCCTGCAGATGAGCCTGAGAGCCACCTCATGTGCTAGCCACCAGCCAGCTCCCAGGGGGTCTGGGTTTTCTCAGGAGTCAACAAGCTAGATTAGACTCAGGACAGCCATATGGTGACTCCAACCCCGGGGCTGAGTTAGGATGCACCCCTTAGAGGTTCAGGTTCTTGCTGTCACCCAGAGCCCAGAGCTCTGAGGGCCCCCCATGTCTCAACAAAGGTATAGAGCAGAACAGGAGAGCCCCAGCTGCCGTGGTCAGACAAAAGCTGGACTGAAAAATCCTCTTTGATCCTTGGAACTGAGATAAAGCCTAGCAGGCCAGAGTCCCCTAAAGCTGGGAGAAAGTTCAGAGACTTATATGACTGAGCAGCCCCCAGCACTGAGGCCAAATTACAGACCTGTGTCCCACCCTCTGGGGCCCCACTCCCCAAAACTGCAGGTGGCCTCCAGAGCATAGGTGGGGCATTGCTTCCCTTGAGGATCAAGCCAAGCCCCACCCCTGTTGGGGCCCTGGGACCTGTAGTAACAGAGCCATGTGGCCTGGGGAGAGAAAGGGGCAGGGGAGCTGGAGGCAGAGGCATCCCCAACACGTGCAGAGCAGCTGCAGCTCTGCTGCTTTCCTGTGTCCCCAGATACTTTCTTGGCATGAGATGCTAGAGTCCTGCCCTGGACCAGTTCTCCCGAACTCCCCCTGCAGTCCTCAGTTTCCTCCTCTGCAAGCAGCCTGATAATGTGAAACCAGTCTGGCTTCCAGGCACAGGGAAATGTGGGCTGTAAATGCAGGTGCCATGCTGAGTAGCTGAGTCAATCATGGGCTCTATGATGCCTTGTGCAGGTTGAGCTTGGATTTCCTGGGCTGTGAACAAGGGACTGTGCTGGGTGCATCTTGGCCGATGTCATATGCACACGCGAAGTCTGTCTTTTAGGCCCTTTCCAGCTCCGCTCATTTCTGGGCTGCAGAGCAGCAAGAAAGATGGCAGACTGGACGGCTGCTCTTGCTCCGTTGTCCTTTCCTCATGCTTCCAGTATCTCCCCAATTTAAATCACACAGCATAGATTTCCTCAGCCTTCCTCACCAGCAACCCCACGGAAATGGGAGCTTCTTTGACAACTCCCACCCTCAAAAAATCTGTAGAAATGGGAGCTACCTGGAGCTAGGAAAATCACGTGGCAGGCAGTTCTGCCCTCAGGCCACCTTAGACTTGGCCTCACCAAGGAGCAGCTAGCTGACAAAGACAAGCCCCAGCCCCGCTCTGCCAGGTACTTTCACTCCTGGAAAAGGGAGTGCACCAGCTCCCCATGCCCTTCCACCTCCAGCCCCCTACCCTTTCTGCTCCCCATCACCCCCACAGCTGGTACAGTCAGGGAAAGGTTCAGAGTTCATCATAATGAGGGTTAGTCACACCCGCTAAGAAAGGGTGTTGTAGAAAATAACAAAAATAATGAACAGCCATATACCAGAGACATTTTGTGGGGGTGGAGTGGGGAATGGGATCAAAAACGGGGGGGGGGGGGGG